CTTTATACGCCCAATTCAGGAATTAAACTTCATTTTTAATATAGTTTGCATTGATATTTTATGTGGGTAGCATTTGTCTGGGTTGACTCAAATGTTCCAATGTGTGAAGGAAGTACCAGGAGACATGCACAGAGGCCCTCATTACAAAACAGATAGGTTGTGAAGGTTGGGAAAGGAAAACAGATGAAGTCATAGCAAGGGTATTTTTCAGTTCCCTCTATTCATTTCCTTTGGAGGAAAACAAGATCAAAGAAAACCTTTTCATAAAGCATTTTTGTTCAAAAAAGAAGATTTTTTTGCAGTTATAATTCTATTTCTTTTCCATCTGTTCTTTTACTCATTCACCAACCACATGCCATGTGACAGATACTACATTGTGAATTTAGTAAAAATAGTCAGCGTTTGTGTTCTCTTATTGTGCTGTTCAGAAAATATGTGACAAACATAAATAGAAAGACACAAGACATTGTGAGGAAGCTTATCCCAATTTTAGAGTTAAAAAATGAACTTAATATTTTGGAAATGATTTTGTCTTATGGAGATATTGAGTGTTAGAGAGAAAATTTGAAGGCATTTATTACCTTCAATAAAGAAGACATTTATTATCCATCCTAGCCACAGTTTCTCTCGTCTAGTTTGCCAGCATTCAATTATCAAAACCAAAGCATTATTTTACCATGAACAGAGCAAGTTGATGAAAATGGAGTCCAGTTTTCTGAATTTTTCTTTTCTTTCTCATGAATAAAAATGTATCCGTTTTATAATGTTAAAGTTAAACTGAAAGAGTATGTAAGCCTGCCTTCATTAAAATCAGAAGTTAGCAGTTTTTTTTATATGAATCTTACAAAAATTGAAAACAAAAAGTTGATAACGTCAAAGCTTTACAATATAAACTTAGGTTTGTTTCCTGAAGTAATTGGGAGAAACACTCAAATAGTGGAATGGGGTATCTCTTGAGGTCATAATATCTTCTTCTTCTTTTTTTTTTTTTTGGTTTTTTGAGACAATAATATCTTCTTTGTAAGATTCAACCGTTACAAAAACCTAAATCAGACACTGAGAATTTGTAGCTATTTTAAGGTAATTCTTAATTAAATCTCTTCATACTAAATTAGAAAAAAATGAAATCTGCTTCATGCTATATTGAACCCAAAAATTCTAAGACTGTGTTGATTTCATTACTTGTATAGTTGGTTTCCTGCATGGAAACTATACACACACATCTTTGTAAAGTCTTCTGCCGTTATACATTCAGTGCATGTTTATGTCATCTGTCAGTTGATGTCAGATCACTGATCATTGGCCAGTCATGTGTCCCAAATCATCACACATTGAAGTAAATTACAATCTGATAAACTATGTTGTTGTAATTCTTAAAGTCAAAACCTGATTGAAGTTTATTTCCTGTTGCTCACTAGGTGTTTAATGCTAGACAGTTAATTGAGTCTTTCCTAATTTCTTTCTACCTATAGAACAGTGTTTCTCAACCTATGGGTCGTGACTCTTAGGGGGATCAAAGGACATTTTCACAGGGGCCGCATGTCAGATATCCTGAATAGATGATATTTACATTACAATTCATGACAGTAGGAAAACCACAATTATGAAGTAGCAATGAAAGTAATTTTAGGGCTGGGGGTAGCCACAATGTGAAGAGCTGTATTAAAGAGCAGCAGCATGAGGAAGGCTGAGAACCCCTGCTGTAGAAGGTCTGTTGAAGTGTATAGTCATGGGAACTGAAGGAGATACTTAGTGTCTGGGAAAGGTTGGCAGGAAAGTTTCTACAAAAGACTATCCTTGTACATTTGTTCTCTCTCCACCCTGTCTTTATTATAAGCTAAAATGTAAATCAATAGAGTGGCTCACTCCTGTAATTTGGTAATCAGGAAAATGAGGAAGGTTGCCATAACCAGCCTGAACTATATATGACTGACAGTCATAAACTTTGGAATGACACCCTGTATGAACAACAGAGACACAAATGTCAGTTATTTTACATAAACATACAATCACATGGTTTGATACTCAAAAGAACAAAAGTGAAGAAAACAAAATGTCCCTTATCTAGTTACAAATTTCCCTTTTATAAGAAAATGATTTCATCAATTTCCTATGTTGCTCCTGAAAACATTTCATGCATTAATTAGAAGCATTTTTTTAAAACTTGTAGATATTAGAAATGGATTCACCATGTATGTAGCTACAAATTTCATTTTTCTCTCTATAATGATCTTAGATACTTTTTCTTAATTAATAAATGTAAGTTTTTCTTTCTATTATATCAACTGAGAAAAGAGTTGTGTTTCATGTGTGGACTTCCTGTTGATATTTACTTGGTGCCTGTTTACTGAGACTGATGAGTGATGGAAACATCAGGGGAGTACAGTTTGAATTGAAGCTCCCTGTAGTTTCAGGAAACGTCACAGTCACAATATGTTGATTTCTAGTCTCAAAGCTTCTGTAGTCAAGGGTTACCTAGCAGCATTGGCTTTGTGAGTTTTCCCTGGATAACTCATCAAAGGTGGAGTTTTGTGCCAGATATTTAATATGTGTTTGAAAAATGGAAGGCACGGAAACAGATTTCACTCTTTACAAAAAATGTTATTGCTTCATTCTGTGCCCAGTGACCAGGACTGTTGGAGGTTGCAGTGCACATGACCTATATAAACAGGACCCATTATTATAGTATTAAATATCGAAGCTTCCAAAGGTTTTTGTAGTACTAGGAGAGCTGACAGCTCACAATGGGTCAATATGTAATCCTCAAGTAATGTCTCTGATTTGATTCAAACTTCCTTTGTCTTTGTTAAGACTCAGTTTGTGTACACTGAATTAAACATGTGATGATTTCATTCAGGTAAAATTCATAACTTAATGGAGTGGGAGGTAGCACTTAATCCCTTGTTTGTGTGTTTTAAAATAATTACATGATATTCTACTTGATGTTCACAAAAAAGGCTTATAATATGTAATCATTTTATAAATTTATTAAAACATATGCTGTGGGATATTATAAATGAACTTGATACTAGTGCAAAATTGATTTCCCTTTGGGAATGGTACTTGTTTACAAAATGCCTGTCAAAAATGCTGCGTTAAATGTGGACCTCATTAATGTAAATTACTCATTTTTATAGCAGATTGGGGTCTTTTTTGTTTTTTTTTTGCAAAACTGGGATGATGTGGAAACAGGATAATTTTATTTTTACCTCTTTTCTTAGAATTATTAAATGAAGCTAAATGGATGCCATGTTAGTCCTATTTAAGGGAACAATACATTGTACAGCAAGCAGGTTGTATTTAGGGTCTCATAGCACACAGAGAAAAGACATTGGAAAACCATTTGGAATATGGATGACTCCCGGATATTCTGGATGTCTTTTGAACATAAGAAGGGACGGGAAAAGTTTTGACTGTGTTTATGTGTGAAACAGACTGCATCTCTAGAGAAATGACTTAGTATGTCTCAAACATTTCACCTTTAAATGAACTTAAGGTTAAGGGAATACCTGTTTTTGAAAGAAAAAATGTGCATGAGTGTAAAAAGGGAAAAACATTCCGAACTTCTCCACTTGGGTCATTAATTTAGGAAAAGAAGACTCAATGATGATACCTTGGGACCGAGAATTAAGTTATGTTAGACTGTTTTAATAGTTTATTAAAGAGTTTGACTCTCTTCACTTACTTTCTCTCAAAATTGCATAAAAATACTGTATGTTAAATGATGTTCCATTTACAAGAGTTAGAAAGTGGAAACAATCAAGGTTCCATTAACAGAAAGAATAATGAAAATGTCATAGCTGTGCAATGAGTTTTATTCCGTAAGAAAAAAAAAGTGAAGATATGAAATTTGCATGTAAATGAGTAGAACTAGAAAATATACCGAGTAAAGGAACCCAGACCCAGAAAGCTAAACACTCCAAGTACTTTTTGTTTGTTTGTTTGTTTTTCCTTACATGGATTCTAACTTTGAATGTTTACTTTCATGATTTTTTACTCGGAGGCCCTGCAGAGTCAGCAAGTTAGATGAGGAGAAGGGAGAGAGAGAATAGCAGAATATCAGCAATATGAAAGAGGGGAAACACTGGGGTTATATAGGTCTAATCAGGGATGTGGGTAGAAGGATATGGGCGATATGGGGTTGATGTAGAACATTTACTAAAATTAAGAATGTATGAAAAAGTCATATAGGAACCTGCTACTTTGTAAGCCAATTGAAAAATATAAATTCTCAAATAAAAGTTAAAGGGATATATTCTGCATGACTAGATAATGATTTTCCTAGAATACATAGGTTAGTAAACAATAATCCCAGTGTAAACTGAGGGATACCCAATTATGAGTTATTGCTCAGGGAGACTCCAGGTAACACCAAACTAATGCAGAATCTTGCCATGCTTCTTGGTTAACAACCAGAATTAGACAATTAATCCCCAAATATTAACACATTTTTTTCAAAATATCTTTGAGGAAGTAAATTTATCAATAGTTTTACGCAGGGATAAACACTGTATTACAAATTCAGTCAGCCATGCAAAACGTGCCCATTGGTTCAATAGTGGTCTGATTGTTACAGGGAGTGACCAACTACTTTCTTATTGGAAATAAGGCCAATTTCACCAATGAAATCATGTGTGATAGTGCAAACCTAGTTAAAGCCCATGGTTGCATGAGTCATAGTTCCTAGGAGGATTATTTCTTACTATTATTTAGCTAAATGGGCACAAATATTTGTGGCTAGGAGTCACTACATCATTAAATGAATAGCGTCAGAATTTCCATCATAAATAGATGATGGCCATGAACATTAATATAACAATAACAACAACTAATGTTATTTGGAAGTATACTCAGATTAGGTTCATTCATCTACTGGTTGCTCTAGAGTAGACAACAAATCATTTCATTTTTTTTTTTTTGTCTCTATAAAGTTCAACTGAGAACAATAAAGATAGTTGGAGAGATGGCTATGTAGTTCAGTGTTAACTGCTTTTTTTTTTCAGAGGACCTGGGTTCAGCTTACATAACAGATTGTACCGGTCTATTTCTCCAGCTCCAGTGGATCATCCTCCTCCTCTGCAAGTACGTTGCACATATATAGAGCACATACATACATTCAGTCAACACACACACATGAAACAAAAAGAATTCTTAAAAAATAAAATCACTACAGATATTAATAATATTAAACTAAAATGTGTTCTATTAGATATCAAAGATTAATGGAAGCTTACAATGAACATTTTAAATCTTGGGTCAGTTTTAGAGATTATATATGCCTGGCTCTGCATAAACTTGTAAAATATGAGGCAATGTTTTCTCTATTCCTATCAATAAATAATTACTGTTTTCTAGATTCAATAATTTTACATGTAATGATGACTCAAAAATACTTTCTACATTTTAATGAAAGTATATGATGTTTACTATTTTTATTTGCATGATATATTGTCCTAATTTAAATATAGGATTCTATATGTATTCATATTTATAACTGTTATGTGAATAATATACACTTTATGTGAATGGGCTTCTTGAAGTTACATTATACATAATCAAAATTTAAGGAAAAAGTTGACATGTATTTACATAGAAAATAAAATTTAAAAATAGAAAATCAATTTGACCAGAAAAATGGAAGTTTAATTTAATATGAAAAGTTAAATAATGGCATTTTATTTATTTTCTAAAACCTCAGTTTAAGGTATTTCTAAAGAGTGGATTACATGGATGGCCTTTTAATTATTTGAGATTGATAGATACAAAAACAACCACTTTTTAAACAAATTGTAGGTTGAGTACTCTGGTTCCTTAATTCACTTAGAAGAAACAATAACACCTCATAGAAAGAGAACCTCCAGTATTTACAGATAACCCGATGCACTTTGCCGAAAAATGAATAAGACTATAAATACAAGGGTGTGGTGATATTGTATTCCCCAAAATATTGTGCACCCTAATAAACTTATATGGGGTCAGAGAACAGAACAGCCACTAGATATAGAGGCCAGAAAATGGTGGCACTCACAACTTTAATCCTAGCATTCCAGAGGCAGAGATCCATCTGGATCTCTGTGAGTTCAAAGCCACACTGGAAACAGCCAGGCATGGTGACTCACGCCTTTAATCCCAGGAAATGATGGCAGAAAGGTATATAAGGCAGGGGGACCAGGAACTAGAGCTGGTTAAGATTTTAGGCTTTTGAGCAGCAGTTCAGCTGAGATTCATTTGGATGAGGACTCAGAGGCTTCCAGTCTGAGGAAACAGGATCAGCTGAGGAATTGGCGAGGTGAGTTTAGTGGTGGCCTGTTCTGCTTCTCTGATCTTCCAGCTTTAACCCAATACCTGGTTCCGGGTTTGATTTTATTAATAAGACCTTTTAAGATTTGTGCTACACAAGGGAGTATTCCCACCCACAGAGAAAAATACTTACTTTTATTAGAAATTTAAGCCACTTAAAAAAATTCAAGTTCTTCTATAGATAATATTTAATGTCTTTTAAAGGTCTTCCTACAAGATATTCATTTACTTTCTTATCATTATGCACCATCCTATCATTTTCTAATGACTGACTTTGAATTTTTATAGAAGTAAGGAAGACCACAAATATTTCTACTCTTGGTTTCCTCACTTACTATGCTCCTCACCACATGTACATCTATTTTCTCTTTCTATTTTTTTATTACTTGAAAAGCTAAAACCAAAAGAACATATTGTCACTTTGATGTGATAATGAAGAATTAGAGAAATTTCCACAACTTAGTTTTTATGAATTTTACTCAAGTATTCTTAAACATTTAAAACTTTTAAACATGGACAACCACAAAATAACTTTTATAAAATTGTGTATCCCAAATAAAAATACACTAAGATCTTTTTTTACTTAACATGTATCTAGTGATGATTGGAGAAAGCATTACAATTATTAAATGTATTTTCTGTATTGCTAGAGAATGCGCACACTTTTGAACAACTTTTGGATGTCTGTATTTGGCTCTATAAAATTATGTATACCATTCTAAAATGTTCTATAAGGGACTATATTGAGTCTCTGAAAGTTTCTTCATTAACAAGGATATCCTTGCCTGGAATAAAACAGCTGTCTCAGGATAGTGCAAGTCTTGTCTTTTTGCATCATCTTGTCTGATTTTGCTAAGAAGAATGGACTGCATACTCTTGCATGTGTACGTATGACGTGTTATAACTAGGAGGCTTTTCTGTGCCTGACTTCTCTCTGAGACAGTGTTAGAGGAATGTATGCTCAGGTACTTTAATTCTCTCAGCAATACTGCTAAGGTACACACCTGTATTTTTTATAATATAGGACCAGTGTCTACTTTAAATGGAAGTTACACGCTAATAAAGGTTATCAGAGATAGAGAGAGACATGTTATGATAGCAGGGTCGGTTAGTCAAGGAGGCATAGTAATTTTAAATGTGTTTGTACACAACAGCAGTGCTTCACATCTCATGAGGCAGAAACCTAAAGACTGAAAGAAGAAATAGTCAAATCTACAAACATATTTAAAGAAGTCAACACCTTTCTACAAGAAATCATTAAGCAATAGAAACAAAATTATACCAGAACATTATCAAGTTGATATTGATATTTACAGTACATATTTCCTGAAAAAAGCATCATGTACAATCATCTCAAATATACATAAAAATTCTCCAGTTAATGTGTGACATAGAAATAATCTTGGTAAGTTATTACAAATTAATTCATCCAAATATTTGACCCATTCAAATCCAAATTGAAAATTAGGATATGCCTGCAAATTGTATAAAAATGTAGAAAGTAAACATCACATTTAAAAATAAATGAAGTCAAGATGTGAGTCTAAGGGAATTTTAAAAATATTTTTGTTGACTAAAATTTATAGAAAGGACATATATAAGCATCCAAGGAGCAAATAAAGGGATAACTTACTTGCATGTTAATTTACCGTGGTTGTGAGAGCATGTGCATGACCTGTCTAAGCTCAAGCAAGACTAAACCCAAACATAGAGAAGAGAATTGAGTATCACTTCAATTCAAATAGCTGTTGGCAATTCATAACATCTGGGAGATGGAGAATAAGTTTTCTTTAAGAACATAGCCCTGAGTAAATCAACCATGCCCCACTGCAAGGTCATACATTTACACATCCAAGAATATATGAACTTAACAAATTGGACTTCATAGGTGTAAGAAAATAAAAGGACATACAGATTTGTGAGTAGGAAAGAGGGGAAGCTTTGGGGAAGGATGATTGTATTCAAAACACAGCCTATGAAGTTATCAAAGAACCGATAAATTAGAAAAAAGCATCTTAGAGATATTTTGAGAAAATAAAAAGGTATCTCAGTTTTAAAAATTATTGCTAGAAAGTGTATTTACAAGCTCTGAATGGAGTTAATTTTACAACACACACACACACACACACACACACACACACACTGAAATTTTTTAAGCATAAATTTGCTGTATGACCTACCATTTCACTTCTGGATAGGATTCAAGAGAAATGAAAATGTATGTCCACACAAAGGCTGCATCAAGATGTTTATACATAATTAAAAAATGAGTGAAATGCCCATTAACTGGCAAATGAACAAAACCTGTGAGGCATCCACCTATACCAAGATATTCAGTGTATAGTTATGATTGCTGAGAATTTTTAACATTTCTGAATAATGAAAATATTGTAAGAGGAAGAAACTGGACATAAAAGGCAACATGTTTTATTTATGTGAAGTACTGCAGCCAAGCCCAACTATAGAGAGAAAAAAATAATGCATGGTTGCCAGGATTTCAGTGGGAAGAGAAAAAAGCTATGGAAGAGCAGGAAGAAGTTTTCTGGATTGTATAAATTTTGTCATTTGATTTGATGACAAAGGTAACTTTCAAACATTTTACAGTGTCTGCCCATGCATGGTAATTGCACTTGAACTTTGGAAAAATAAATTGTATTTTGAAATAAATTAGATTTCCATGATGGTTTTTCATACATCCTTAGTTTTGATTCATCCACCCACTTCCCTCCCATGTTTTCCTGATCTTCCATTCCTAGTTTATCTTTTCCTCATGCAATATCCTCCTCACGACGTTTGTTTTATATATAATCTACTATTCTCTTCCCTTAATGTGCTCCCATCCAAGGCCCACATCTACTTTTCTGACTTTGACTTGTGCTCCAAGTTAAATATACAAAGCATAACTATCAAAAAAATTGAAGTTAGAATCTGCATATGAGAGAGAACATACCATGTTTATCTCTTTGGGCCTGAGTTACCTCACTCGGCATATTTGTTGCCAGTTCCACCCATTTGAATACAAATTTAATTAATTCATTTTTACTGATACAAAAGAAATGTTCCATTTTGTGTATGTGCCTCATTGTTTTTTCAGTTCATCTGTTGAAAGACATCTATGTTGATTCCATTTCCTAGTTATTGTGAATAGAGCATTGATAAACCCCATAACCACCAAGTTGCAGGGAATCTCAGAAGTGGAGTCAAAGTAACAAAAAGAGACAGGAGATAAAGGGGGATGCTTTTGTTTGGACAGGACATGGTTGTCACAATCACGATCTCATAGCAGCAGTGGTTACCTGCAAAAGTCACATGCATGACCAAGCCAACTAAAACCCTGGCATTGCTGGGGTAGATGGTCAACAGGCCTCTCTGCCTGTAGTACTGACGACTTCTTGGCAGTTGAAAGTTTCTGGGAGAGAGAGATATGGTCACTGAGAGTTTCTATGCTCTGAGGGATGTCCCCAAACTCATATGGACAACATTAACTGATATATTATATTATATTATATTATACTATATTATATTATATTATATTATATTATATTATATTACATGTATATATATTATATGTATGCATATACACATATGTGTTATATTATATATTATACAGATTGTATATTATACTGTGTATGTTATTACACATATAATATATTGCATTATATACAGAAAATTATATATATGAACTTGGGATGAATGTGTGTTCAGGGGCATGAGAGATATGATATATGATGTTATATAATGCACAGAATTTTTAAAAATAAAGAAAAACTTAAAAAAGAAAATAATTTTTATGGTTGAAATGAGTTGCATGTTATTAGTGCACATATTCTCCAGTACAGAGATAGGTGATAAATTTCAGTTAATGACTAAATGATACTAAAGGATAATATATTGTTTTATATCTATTTAGGTATTTACAAGTTCTTCTGAGTACTGTTTCTTACAATGACCTCAAAGTCAAGAAATGTCATACTTATACCTGAAGAGCAATACCAATTTAGTTGTTTGGGACAATGTTAAAAAATAATCTAATTTCTGACTTGTCAGTTTTAATAGGTGATGATAGTCTGTCAATTAATGAGATTTTTGGACAAGCATATTCTAATAAAGGTCATTGGGTTTTAAACCCTCTGCTCTTTTGTATTCTTTTCACTTTAAAATCAAAATGCTACCTAACCTCACATTCAGAGCATTACACATTTAGAATGCTTTGGTTAGTTAATTTATACAGTCACACATATTGTAAGGCTGTGTGAAAGAATCTGCCTAATTATTTATTAGGAGAAATATTTACTTGGATGCAGTTTCAAAATGAAATGAAAAATATAAATAACGATGATTTACTATGTTGATAAAGACAGCTAAGGCTTATTCGAAGTTCTAGATTTAAAAACATTATTCTACATGTACAATAAACAGCATAGCCTGGAATAGGAACCAAAATACATATAAGTGATTTCACAAGATGCTGAGTTTCCATGAGTCAAAAATGGTATGATAATCTATCCCTTCTATGAAAACCTTTTTCAACTTAGTGAATTAGCTTGTGGCTAAAGTTGCCTTTCTAGTAATCCCATTTTTATTGATGTTATATGAGATTGTCCTTGTTCATTTATTTTTTTCAGAGTAAGGAGGTGAATCTACAAATACTAGCCAGCCCTTCAAGTGACCTTGGAGCTCCCGAGATAAAAATAATGACAATGTGGGTGCATTGGGAAAGGACAATTGCATTCAGTACAGAAAGAGATGCTGAAAGACTCCTGGAGATGTTTCCCCAGGAGTGACATATATTAGCTACATACTTAATTTAAGAATCACCTGAAACCAAAATCATCAAGTAACAAGCAGTACTCAATTGGAGAAAAAAATGTTTCAAGACAATCATCACACATGTATTTGAACAAGTCAGGATGATTTTGTAGCTAATTTAATGGTTAGGGATACAGTCTTCGTTGCACAGTAAAGCAGCCCAAGGCTGAAGCCCTGGCACGTGGTGATTGCACAACCTTGGGGAAATTGTTTCTGCTCTGAGCTTCTGTTTCTTGAACTGTGACAACATTTCCCAGGCAATTATTCTGTGGATAATGAGCCAAGCTTAATACCGCAGAACATTGAGCTTATTGTTAAGCATTCCCCAATTACGGTTTTGGAGACAGGGGGAATGACTCAAATGTGCTAGAGAAGAGAATTCCTATGCTCCTCACCCTAAGATTTTCTCATGAATTAATAATACTGCAGACAGCATGATCTAGATGGAGTAGCCGAGGAGCCTTGCAGGTCTCTTGGTTGCTCCTTTTCTTCTCTGTGTTATAGTCTTCTGATTTCTGGATGTCTCCATAGATATTAGAAAAAGGTTAGGTGACTTGTTTCTTGTGAGATTCCTGTTATCAGATCCTCAGTAAAGCTATATATCCTCTGAATGCCAAATGAGACAGAGTCAGGATATGACCTAAATACACTAGAATAAGGCTTGGTGAGACATAGGCTAGTATGAAGATATGGCAATTCATATAGTTATTGACAATGGGTGGCAACTGGTGCTTAAATGTAGCATCTCATTTAATCCATAGAATGCAGGGCAGCTAGGAATACTTGTACCCTATTTCACAGACAGGCAACTGAAATTTAGAGAATTTTGTTAAGATTGCAACAAGTGGAAAACTAACCAGCAGAATGTGTTTTCTCACTAAAAATGTCTGCTCTAGTGTCTAATAGAGAAAATGTTATGCAAATTTCTGCGCATTTTACTATTACCAAAAAGCTAAGAAGTTCAATCAATTTTAATATTTCAATACAGAGACCCACAGTTGACAAAGCCACAGAGAACAAGACACCACAGTCATGCTCAGCATCAAGTGGGATATCTATTGCAGCTGACTTCTCCAAGGCTCAGTCATCCTAGCAGAGGGAGCAGAAAGAGCGTAAGTGCCAGAGGCAGTGGGCTATGAGAAAACAGCATCTTCTGGGCATAGCAGGGTAGCTGCATTTATGAACTCATAGCAATTATGACATCATGCACTAGGTCCTTTGTAGTCAAGCCAATTAAGCAATCCATACCTTTGTTGAAGTCTCTGTATGTCTCCCACTGTCATTATGAGTATGAGATTTATATAACAGAAGATTTATATGTTTGTGTTCGTATTACTGAATATTTGTTGACCCTAGAGCAGTGATTCTTAAACAGTGGGTCATGACCTCTTTGGGGGTCAAATGACCCTTTCACAAGGGTCAAATATCAGATATTTACATTATAATTCATAACAATAGCATAATTACATTAAATGTAATTTTTCAGGTGAGGGTCCCCACAGTGTGACAAATTATATTAAAGGGTAGAAACATTAGGACGGTTGTGAAACACCATGCCAGAAGATATGTCATTCCATGCATTCAAATTTAAATATAGTCTATATTTCTAAATATTTGAACATTTACATTTGCCACATGCCTATTTTTATCAGCCATAATTTTTGTCTTACAATTTTCTTTTACTTATAAGGCAATTTTATCCCTATTCATCATTAACCATTTGTGTGATTTTTATATGTAATGCTTAACTTGCTCTGCCTTTTGGTTTTATATATAACTTTTTAAAGCAACATATAGTTGAATTTAATATTCAATAGATGAATAGCCCTTATATTGGATAATAAAGCATTAGTAATCACATTTAATATAATTAATGCCAGATTTGGATTAAAACCTACCAATTTTGTTTTTGTATTGGGCATTCATAGATACTTTTTTTGTATTTTAATCTTTTGTCAAATTAATGTATTAATTTTTCCTCTTACTATCTGTTCACTGGAACACATAGCAAATGTTTTGTACAGATACCAAATTATAAAAAGTGGTTAGTCAAATGTGTGGAAAAGATCTGACAGGTAAAGAAAGAATTTAAAACTGACTCCTTGTCGGCAAGCTTGGTGGCCCACACCTTTAATCTCGGTGCTGGGGAGGTAGAGGCAGGCATATTTCTTTGAGTTCAAAGCCAGCCTTCTCAAGAGACAGCCAGGACATTTCCAAGACAACCAGCACACACAGAGAAACACTGTTTGAAAAAAAAAACTAAACAAAACAGCAACAATAAAAACTGACCCCATGTATTTATCTAATTTTATATTTTAATATAGTAAACATATTTTTGTTCCACTCATTTAAATACAAATATAAAAATGCATATAGAAACAAATTATTTCTTCCCACAGCACTCTAGACTATCTCTTTAACTTTTTTTCAACTTTCTGTCTGCTTATGGGCTTCACAAAATACACCTTATAGAAAATACCTACCAAAAATAAAATCAACTGAGATTTTGCGATATGTTTCTCCACATAGTATTTTGTCTTATTTTCTGTGCAAGGTATCCTTACAGATCATAAGGTCTCCAGAACCGACCTTTCATTACACGGCTTATTTTCATTAAATGAATGAACCAATCATAGAAATGTGATCTGGGAATCAGGAGTAGAGTAGGAGGCTTATCAAGAAATCAGAGAATTCATCTGACCTTAGTCTGTGGCTATTACTTTTATGGGTTTCATTTTATTCCTCCGAAAATAAAAACAGTAGACAAGAATTGCTGACTTTCAGGCTCCTACTCAGCCTTACATTCACAGCAGTGGACATATATGCATGACAGTCCAATCATAACCTTATGTAATTAAACAGTTACTGGATTTTTCTGGAACACGATTCTCTTTTATGAAATCCTTGTTATCTGGAAATGGAAACAGTAAACTACACAGAAAGAACTTAAGTGCTATCCAATAGCAGATTTGATTATTAATTTCCATTATGTCAATGGATTGCATTAACACGGTCATTATAAGCATTGTAGAACACTGGTTATTCACTCTGAGAATTTATATGCATTCCTTTGCTCCTCTACTAATAAAATTTAAACTTGTAATGTATCATATGTGAAACTATTCTATAAGAGACACTTAGATCCCTAGGCATGTTACCCTATATTAAGAACTCTTAAATGTCTACACATTTAAGCAAGGATACAGTCTTATAAATGGCCTATTGGCAGAGGCAAGATTAAAAAATAGTAAAGGAAGGGAACAAAGCAGAAAATTGAATATAAAAGGATTTGATGATAGAATAAATCTTTTTACTATCTTCAGATATTTTATCCATGTCATTTCTTATTCCGCATTACAGTGTGACAATTGCAATAAATTTCACTGGAAAGTGGTCAGTTCAGAACTGAAGGTCACTTTAGTAATTGCAGGTGAGGGGCTCCCCACGTGATGGCAATTGGAAAGCACAACATTTTACTTTCATGAGTGCCGTGATTTAGTTCTTTGACCTCCAGTTGGCTAAGCATGAAATATATGACATTTCCCTTCTGATATATGTGTGCGAAAGCTCATGGGAATAAAAGCCGACGCAGGTTTCAACTACTGTGTGATCACCAGCTAAAGTTAGGCTGAAGTACTTCCGGTGAGTAAGAAAACAGGAAAGAAAAGGGAAAAACTGAAATCACAGAAAAGAAAGCAGAAAGGGAAAAAAAGACAATGATAGGAATGAAAAGGAAAAAGTTAATTTGTTTATTTTCCTTTCTGCACAAATGGTATTCTAAATGTCCCAAATAATGTTTTGAGAGGCCTCCAAAATGAATAAGGACAGCTCTTTGAGACATCATACCATGTGTAAGTTTGAAAGGTGCATCACACACACACACATACACACACACACACACACACACACACACACACACACACACACAAATTCATGCTGAAATGTCAGTTTTATAGCTCTAAGAGACAGGTCCTAAGGTTTAGAAGTTAAAAGTAAGTTAAATCCTTGCTCATGTAAACATTAAACTGTCAGCAAGGAAGAAAGTTCAAAAGTTATGATGGTCTGGAAATGTGGTGCTATATGAGGTCTGAAGACCTATTAATCTGCCTGTGATGTCAACCAGGAGCAGTTACACTCTGCTGTTAGCAGGAATACATGCACTTGAGAACAGCAAGGGCCCCGGCCACTAAAAGGTCAGTGAAGATAATGTATCTCACCTTCTTCATCAACACAAAGATAATGGGATAGGTTCTTGGTATTCATTTAGCAAAGGCATGCCCAATGGATATGACAAATGTGTTTACAAATAAACCACTCTTTCATTAAAGATTTGTATAGGATTAATACAGAACTCAATTCAAAGTAATGAACCAATAATCATTTTCCCCTTTGTTTTAGAGTTTTATGAAGATTAAAAAATGTTTGAACATAATAAAGGTTTTAGGTAAGAGTTTTGACAAATTAGTGTTTTTATTATGAAATATTTTAGAATGGATATCTTAAATAAATATACTTAATCAATAAAATATGAGAAAATTAAGTTTTTTAGGTAAGGATTGTGTTCGTTCTCCATCCAGCTAAATGTTTCTTTTAGTCAGTATCATGTCTAGTAAGAACACTTTTAAAACACTTCCCTGAGTTAATTCTCAATTCTCTAAAAATAATAAATTTGATCTGCTTTGGCTTACATTTTACAACATAGAGATATAGTGTATTACAACTACATGCAATTAAATACTTTTTTTCTAACTCCTCTAACATTTCTTCATAATACACTGGGGATATATATATATATATATATATATATATATATATATATGTGTGTGTGTGTGTGTGTGTGTGTGTGTGTGTGTGTATAAATTCACACTAAAACATCTAAGAATCCAGAGGATTGATTTGCGTTCTAATTTAGTGTTAAGTCTTTGGAGCATGGTGTAGGTTAAAACCAATGCAAGCTAGGACATCCTTGGTTCTTCATCCGGCTGCAAACAACCTGTGGAGATGGGACACTGAGGCCAAAGTAAATAACCAGAGATAGCACATCATTAGGTTCCTAAACATGATCTCTCAGTACTTTGCAGTGAGAAAGAATGAGATCAATTGTAGCTTAAGTGATGTGACCTAAGACAACTCCTCATCCATTCTAGAAAGAGAGACAAGCAATTGGCATGTGGTTTATTTTGGAATTCCACAAACTGACAGCTAAGCCCCATTGATGGAAAAAAAAAAAACACCTACACAGTTCATGGAACATGGAGATGTCAAGTTGGTGTCTACATAGAGCCTTTCCACCCCTACGCTCTAGTGTCTGGTACAGGAAGGTACTCTGCAAGCTATCAAAAGAAAAATGTATACTCCAAGCCAGCCACAATTCCTTTGATCTTCATTGGTGTCTGCTGCAAGATATCCTAAGCAAGGGTGGCATAAAGCTTGTGGGAGTAACCTACGAATAACTGATTTGAGTTAAGGCCCACTCCACAAGATGTAACCCACATCTGACACCGTTGTAGATAAACAAGAACCTAAGACTAGACAGCCCAGAGATATAGGGTAAAAACCAAATAATACTGGTGTAAAATAAGAAAAAGCAAAACAAAACAGAAAACAAAATGTAGTGATAAAATGACTCCTAATGATATTCTGCTATACTCATAGGTCAGTGCCTTTGTTCATCCATTATTAGAGAAGACTCTTCCCATAGCCAGATAATGTGCAGAAAGTGAGAGACCTTGGAACACTCAGCCCTAAATGGGATGTTTCCATCCAATTCCTTCTGAAAGAGCTCAGAGAACCCATCAGAAGAGGTAGAAAGAATATAAGAACCAGAGAGGAAGGAGGACACAGGGAAACAAGGCACTCTGTATCAACAGAAGCAAAGCTCATTTGAACTCACAGAGATTGAAGCAGCCTGTACAGAGCCTGCATAGCCTATACCTGGGCCTCTGAATACATGGGATGGTTTCCAACTTAGTGTTTTTGTGAGATTACTGAGTGGGCGAATGAATGGGTCTCTGATTCCTGTGCCTTTGCTTGGGTTCTTTTTCCTTCTATTGGTTTGTATTGTCCAATGTGATAGTTGTTGTTTTATCTTATTATATTTTATTTTGTTACA